TGCATTCCTTGGCCTCATACCTCTCCCGGACTCAACTTGCTGCTAGCACATTTCAGCACGCCCCTAGTGGTGGGGATGAGGGGGGAGGGGGCAGGATAGGGAGAGGTAGTGACACAAGGAGGATTCTCCTGTGGCACAGAGGCAATAGAACAGCTCTATATTGCTCTCCCCACCTGGCAGTTACTGGCATGGGGCAGTAGGAAAAAGAGGGCAGAGTACATTTCTCAGATGCATTCATGCACCTGCCCTGCTTTTTATTTTGGTTTGGTTTAGTATTGACTTTAAAGATAAGAAGATTGTAACAGGTTAAACTTTAAAGGATATTGGCAGGTGGACACTTTTCCTGAAGAGAGCATGTAAGGTCTTCTCTCACTCTCTTTCTGGTGGCATCAACACTTCTTGCCTTAGTCTGGGCTATAAATAGTTAAAATGTTCATTGTGACTAGCTAAAAATCTAAGCTTTTATTAGGCCATATAAAAATTATGAATGTCAAAATAGTACCCGTATTTGTAACATAGCAGCTAAGTTTTCATGGAAGCTCCTCACTTGTGTATCCCATGATGTTTGCTGCACCATTTTAAAACAACAGTTGCATTTATTTGTATTCATCACAAAACTTGAAAAACTGAATACTCTTTAGGGAGGAAGAAAATCAAATAAAGCAGCACATTCATTTCATTGAAAAGCAGACCCACCAAAATAGCTAGCAAAGCTGATTTTTGTGATGCTGCCATTTTAACTATAAGAAGGAACTCTCGGAAATTTGGTGAAAAAGCTTGTCCTCAGAAGATTTCCAGGAAAAAACATTCCAATTCTTTGCTAGCAGCTGATTTGGCCCATAGCTTCTAGGTCAAAAATGTTCTAACCATCATCCAAAATTTTCAATTAGTCTCATCATCAGATCAAACCCTTTCACATTCAACCAACACTACTCACATATTAAATCTATCCCAGGCCAGGTGTGCTTACCATGAAGATATAAATTGGGATACAGAACAGAAATAACATGACTGGAACTTCTGTAACATCCAGGGTTCTTCAATTATCCAAGGAAGAGTGATAATCCTTCTTGGAGTTTCAGTACTCTGAAGAATCAAAGGAATATTGTGCCGGGTACAGGGGCAGAAAAGGACAGTGTCCTGGCTTCCTCGAGCCAAGACATGAGACATCACTCTAAATGTAGATAGACTTCTGAAGTCTATGGGTAAAGATTGATAGATAATGGTTCATATTGGCATTAATGATACTATGTCATGGGGTATCTTGCAGAAAGTACATGACTTCCAGAAACTTAGAAGCATGCTGACGAAGAATGTCCAAGCAATCCTCTCTGAAATCCTCCCTGTCACATGAACCAAGACAGACAGAAAGCAGAAGATTCTAAAAATGAATCACTGGTGGCACAGGTGGTGTAGGTTGGAGGGCTTTAGTTTTGTGGAACTTTGGTCTGCCTTCTAGGGGAGAAAGGACTGTAAAGTTTAGAGTGATCCACCTTGCACTGACATGAAATTAATCAAGGAACCAAAGGACATGAAGAAAATAAATTATTAAATTGCCTATACCACCAATGTGTAGAGCCTGGGTAACCAACAGGAGAATTGGAATTGTTCATTTAGGAACATATATTTGTTCTAGTCGGTATTACTGAAATCTGGCAGGACGATTGGCATAACTAGAATGTTAAAATTAATGGTTATAACTAGGGCTATAAATTAATCACAGTTAACTCTGGTGATTAACACAAAACAAATCAACGAGATTTTTAAAATAGTCATGATTAATCATAGTTTTAATCACACTGTTTCCCACTGCATGTGGGCAGGGTAAACAAAATGTCCTGTGGGTCACACACAGAACACAGATGGGCTGTATGTGGCTCATGTGCCACGGCTTGCCCACCACTGATCTAGACTGTTGGACACACTGGGCAGAAGCAAACAGTTGTTTTAATACTGCTAAATGTAAATGTAAATGTGTCACGTTATTGGATTGTGAGGGGAGCAGCCGAGTCACTGCTGCACCCATGGGGGGGTGTTCGCCCTAAAAGCGGTACAAAGGGGGCCATGCGAGGGGTCAAACAAAAGCTTACTTTCTTCTGATTCTGTATCTGCTCTTCATATATCTGTATTATGACTGTGTGTGGAGTTAGGAATCTGTATGGAGACTGGAAGTCTCTCTGAATGTGGTTGAGCATTGGGAAGAGTCCGGCCTATGGACATGCTAATTAGCAAGGCCCTGTGGGACAATAGCACTCAATGGGCCAAGGACACACCTCGGGAATGGTGACCGACACCTAAGGGCTACCAGCAGGGAATACAGTGATAGGCCGCTGGCCAGGTGACCTGCTGCAGCCAAGAAGAGACCAGGAAGGATGTATAAAGATGCCATGTGGCTGACTCCATCTTGGTACTCAGCTCAGCACTTCATCCCAGAGGCAGCAGTGCAGGGATCGAAGAGCCGGAAAGAACTGTGGACCCATCCTGATCCTAGGATGCGCAACAAGGACTTTTAAGCCAGCAGCTGTAACATCTCTGCTAGAGTCTGCATCGAGAACTGGGAGATTAGATGCATGTAATGTACTATCCTTTAACAGCCTTACTCTCATGCTTTTCTTTATTGTAGAAATAAACCTTTAGATGTTAGATTCTAAAGGATTGGCTCAGCATGATTTCTGGGTAAGGTCCAGAGGGTAAATTGACTTGGGATCTGTAGCTGGTTTATTGGAACCAGCCAGAACTTGTTCAGGGTAGGTGAGATTGGGTTCTAACACCCCGCACCTGTGTATGAGGCCTGGGGCCATCTGGGGCACGGATATGGCTGGAATGTCAGAGGGGTTTTGCTCATGAGGAGCCCCGAATTTGAGCAATTCTCCCTGAGCAGACACCCTCAGCTGTGCCCAAACTGGCCCCGTCTATCACAGTATGCACCTGGAAAAAAAGAATGCAGGCCATTCTTACACAGTGGTGGATTCAATCCCAGGAAGCGGTGACTCTGAAAAAGGTTTGGGGATGATGATGGATAATCCACAGAACACGAGCTTCCAGAGTGGTGCTTTGGCCAAGAGAGCTAATGCAATCCAAGGATGCATAAACGGCAGAATCATAGAATACTAGGAGTGGAAGGGATCTCGAGATGTCATCGAGTCCAGTCCCCTGCCCTCATGGCAGGACCAAATACTGTCTAGACCATCCCTGATAGACATTTATCTAACCTACTGTTAATTATCTCTAGAGATGGAGATTCTACAACCTCCCTGGGCAATTTATTCCAGTGTTTGACCACCCTGACAGTTAGGAACTTTTTCCTAACATCCAACCTAAACTTCCCTTGCTGCAGTTTAAGCCCATTGCTGCTTGTTCTATCCTCAGAGGCCAAGATGAACAAGTTTTCTCCCTCCTCCTCATGACACCCTTTTAGATACCTAAAAACTGCTATTATGTCCCCCATCAATCGTCTCTTTTCTAAACTAAACAAACCCAGTTTCAGCCTTCCTTCATAAGTCATGTTCTCTAGACCTTTAATCATTCTTGTTGCTCTTCTCTGGACCCTCTCCAATTTCTCCACATCTTTCTTGAAATGCGGTGTCCAGAACTGAACACAATACTCCAACTGAGGCCTAACCAGCGCAGAGTAGAGCAGAAAATTAGAATCTCAAGTAGGAGCAGAGAAATCATTATATCTGTGCATTTGACACAGGTGAGCCAGCTGCTGGAATAGTGTGTCCTGTTCCGATTTCCATAATTCAAGAAAGATATTGATAAATTGAAAAGGTTTCAGAGAAGAGCCAGGAAAATTATTACAGGATTAGAAAACATGGTGTATAGAGATAAACTCAAAGAGCGCAATATCTTTAACTTAATAAAGAGAATAATTTACCAGGGGTCAGGGTGAGTCTCCATCACTGACAATTTTCAAATCAAAAGTGGATGTTTTTCTAAAAGATCTGTCTGCAAATCATTTGGGGGAAGTGGGATGGCCTGTGAGAGGCAGAAGGTCAGACGAGATGATCACAATGGTCTCTTCTGGCCTGAGAATCTAAGAATAGTTCAGAGCACAACATGAATGATCTCAAAACAGAGGAGAATGACGGGAAAATTGTGATTTCTTTACATTTTTAGCACAAGCCCACATGTTAGTTTTGTATTATCAAGTTACATTACATAAATGAAATGTATATATGTGAATTAGGGCTAGTCTCTGAGCTGTGCCTCCAAGGAGGCCAACTTTGCATACCCCAAACTCTGTTTGCACTGAAAATTAGTGCAGCCCCCAGCGTCAATTAGATCAGCCAGAGAGGTTTCGCTATGGGCTTTTTGGATGTTGGACACCTATTGGCTACTTCGCCAATGTTCTAACCATTCCCCAGCCATCTCTCTCACCATCCCTGTACTGGAGACTAAAAGACATTTCCCTGGTGCTGCTGGTCCAGATTTGTGAAGGTATTTAGCCACCTAAAGACAGACAGATGCCTAGTGGGATTTTCCAAAACACCTATGCACCCACTCCTATCTCACTAGGCATCTAGGTGCATCTTTAACTGTCTAAATACCTTTACAAACCTGGAAATGCAGTTGGTATACACTGCCAGAGCAGCATATGGGACTAGAGTCTGTTACACTTGAGGGTATAAAAATCTCAGGCTCTTATAAACAGTGAAGAACACAATCTATGTTTATAATGCTTAAGACCTCCCACAACTGAAAAGCATTTTATAGAGGATTAATTGCCTAGCCTATATTATATACTAACAAATCAACAGGTTCTATGTAAAATACCAAGCATAAACTTTCCAAAAATGTAGCACAGAAAATAAGCTATCAACCATCACATGAGAATCAAAACTGGATTTGAAATAACGCTTGACAAATAAAGGTCGTAATGCATGGTTTGTCAATTTACAAGGTAAATTAACTATTTGACTTTTGGTCAAGCATCCTGCAGTTATTTAAATACCCTTGCTGCCAACTAAATACAGAGCAATGCTGTGAACAGCAGCCTAGTTACTGACTAAGTGAGTTGCCATATGCAAAAAATGCCAACCTTGGATGACATTCTTGAGCATATTGGGGAATTTGACTTGTACCAGAAGCGAGCCTTTTTTTTCTTATGCCTGTTGTCTGCCACCTTCACCCCTATTTATGTGGGTGTCGTCTTCCTGGGGTTCACTCCTGAGCACCGCTGTCTCAGTCCTGGTGCTGCTGAGCTGAGCAGCAGATGTGGCTGGAGTCTGGAAGAGGAGCTGAATCTCACAGTTCCAGAACAGGGGAGACCTGGGGAGTCTCTCTCTAGTCAGTGCAGGAGATACGACGTGGACTGGAACACGACGGGCCTCAGCTGCACCAACCCCTTAGAGAACTTCACTGGTTATGGCAACAGGAGCAGCATCCCGCTCGTCCCCTGTCAAGATGGCTGGGTTTACGATTCTTCAGGATCATCCATTGTGACTGAGGTAAGACAAATTTAAACAAGTAGCAACAACCTAAGGTTATTCATGTGTTTGCAAACTGAAAAAATCAAAATGATCATTTTTGGAAGAAGATACTTATGCTAGCAAATAGACTCTGCTCAGCATATGCATAGATTAAGTATAATTCCCACTAACAATACAAGTACACTAGACCTGGTTGAAAGGTACAAAATGTGATCTATGAATGTATTTGCGTGGGGGAATGATAAGATCACAGTGCTATTATTTGCAGAGTCATATTATTAATTTTTCAGTAATCAGAAGATTGGAAGTTTATTCATAAAAATGTTCACAAATCCTGAAAGTTTCATCAATTTCCATAAAAATGGTTATGCAGATTTCATCATTTTCTATTCTCTTGTTTAAATGTTTCAGTCATCCAGTCAGGAGCAAAAACAACGCCACATCAGTCCTACACATTACCAGCTTTACAGAGAGCCTGGAAAGTTAGCATAATTTGAAACAAATACAAGTTAGTGAACTACTGTTCGTATTAAAATAGGTGGTAACAAAAAGCTGTATTTGACTACATTTCAGAACTGAAGTGAATTTTTTTTAATAAACTGGGGGAGAGTTATATTTACCCAGAAAATTGCTAAGTTAATTTTTTGCACCAACTTTCTTCTATTTTTAAATTTTTTGTAATCAACATTGATAAATTTCCAGGACATTTTAAACAAAATAAAAACTGAAAATGAAGTGCTTCACACATGACCTGTAGGACTAATCTTGCACATGACTAATAAATAACATCAAAGACACAGTGACGACACTAGAGCGTCTAGATTGGCAGGACGCTTTTCCGCAAAAGCGTCCTTTTTGCGGAAAAGCGTCCGTGGCCAATCTAGACACGCTTTTCCGCAAAAAAGCCCCGATCACCATTTTCACGAGCGGCGCTTTTTTGCAGAAAACGGTACTGTGCTGTTTACACTGGGCCTCTTGTGCAAATGATTTGCACAAGAGGGCTTTTGCCTAAAGGGAGCAGCACAGTATTTCCACAAGAACACTGACGATCTTAATGAGATCGTCGGTGTTCTTGTGGAAATCAAACCGGCCAGTGTAAACAGCTGGAAAGTTTTTCCGCAAAAGCAGATGATTTTGCGGAAAAACTTGCCAGTCTAGACACAGCCACCGTGTTTAAGGGCAAATGAGCCCACCTCTTTATCCGCCCTGGAACCTGCATGTGTCATAATAAAGGAATCATTTCACCTCAAATCCTGCAGCATGGGGTCCCTCAGCCATGTAAGCGCCAAGGAAGGCTGAGCCTTATTGGCTTATTATACCCTCCCTCCCATGTACATAAGAGCTAGATATTGTTACTATCAATGTAGACAAATATTTTGAAGGTATTTGCTAAGAGTTTAATTTATTCAGGGAGTTCCAGAAAGCCAATCAGATCTCTAGTAATCTAAAGAAGGAAACTAAAAATAGTCCACACACTATTATGTCATTATACAGAGTGAGCTACAGCCTGATCTGAGTCGATACTGCATTCCCTTTATGCAATCTTCCCTTGAAAGAGACAAATGCCAAAAGAAAGTTCACGGTATTTGCTAAGAGTTTAATTTATTCAGGGAGTTCCAGAAAGCCAATCAGATCTCTAGTAATCTAAAGAAGGAAACTAAAAATAGTCCACACACTATTATGTCATTATACAGAGTGAGCTACAGCCTGATCTGAGTCGATACTGCATTCCCTTTATGCAATCTTCCCTTGAAAGAGACAAATGCCAAAAGAAAGTTCACAGAAATGATTAGGACCATATAGAGATAGTCATCCCCTCCCCCCCCTCCCC